AATTTATAGATTAAATTACCCTTTAAAAAATCCGAACTTAATGACCCTAACTATGTTTTGATTAATTAGTTTATTGAACACCCTAGTGATTCGTGGTTCAAACGAAAACGAGCAAGAAATTGTCCACGTGTTGAAAAATTATTGAGATTGGTTACGAGAATCCTTCGTTCTTGGATTGTATTTTGAGTATCAAGAAATAATTACGGTGATCATATTATTGTTATGAACAAAATCTTGAACAAGTATCACACTTAGAATGGAAACATAAATTAAATCTCCTGACGGTATAACATTGGGTCAGTTCCTTCGCAGAAACTCGTTCACAGAGATTTACACAGCGTGCGGAAATATTTTGCAAGATGATTTGAATAGCGCATATATCGCTGATCTTGGGCTTTGCAGTAAAGAGAAGGAAGGAAAAATTTGGGGAATTCTACCGTATATAGCACCAAAGGTTTTAGTTATACTTAAGCATCAGATATTTATAGTCTTGGAGTTATTGCGACAGAAATTTCGACTGGACAAAATGCATTTGATGGAATTCCGTTTAATGGTTATATTGTGTTAGAAATTATCGGAGGATCAAGACCTAAATGTTTAGGACCAGATTGTTATGTTAAATTAGCTATGACCTTTTTGGATAAAGAACTTGGTAAACGACCTTCTGCAACAGAAATTATCGTAGTAATCACTTAATGGTTAGATCAAATGGATCAGGATGGCGATAATGAAATAAAAAAAAAAACAAATTTTTTTGAAGCTAATAATATTAAATCAGGACCAATTAACCAAATTTATTCACAAGTCGTGTATACTAGCAAGATATTAACCAATGAGTAAATTCTCAAATTTATATTTAAATTAAATTATATTAAATTATATTAAATAAGTGTTATATAACATGCACTTAAAAAGGTGCAACTATAATAATTTTTCTTAATTATCAAAATTTCTAAAATATCTAGTCTTTATAATATTGCTGAGATAATGTTTTTTTCATCTAATTTATATATTCTAATTATTATTCTTTCATTGTATTTTATTGGTTTGTTGAGTGCTAACAATCTTTTAAAAATTTAAAAATGAAAGATGGGTAATATTGCTAATCAACTTAACAAGACCAAATTTTCATAAGAAAGCCGTTTTAACTTTGTATCTAAATAAAATTTGGAAACCTATGATATCTACGTATTAAATTATAGGTTAAAAGTAGTTAAATGCTTATTTTTTTTCTTGAAATTGGCATGCGAATCCACTCTTAATACTGTAATGGTTATCAACTAATCTTAAAACACTGGAGTATTTTAAGAAACGGTAAAGTACTAGTTTTATAGTAATTAGGCGAAACTTAGAGGTTACGCGTTAGGAAAAAATCGAACTTAGTTTTGGACTTTGCCAAAATATGTTTGAAAAGGATCAAAAAGTGGTAAAAATTAATAAATGAACGTAAGGGGGCATTAAAATTTACAAAAGATGCATAAATGAAAATAAATACAAGTACAATTTATAATTAAATTTAAGTACCAAATAGAGTTTTATTCTTTACAGTAGAACGTTCTATATTAAATAGTAATGATATTAGGGGTTTCAGAATTAATGATTTGGCGTCCGATTTCAGATAAAATAAGTGACGTATTTATTTCAAAATAAGCAACGTACAAATTCTATTTTTTTTTTTAAAGTATGTACTTATTTACATAATTGTTTACCGATGAATGTTTATCAAAAAAAAGCTAATTTTATTACCGACTATACCTATTTAATTTTTGATTCGGAATTCCAAAAAAGAAAATAGGTCTAATTCTGAAACCCCCTATTGTTCAAAGTTCCGAGATAAAATGTAGTTTGATTGTAATTATATAAACTAAAAAGTTTGCTACCACTGTTGATTTTGACATGCTAAAGTATTTTTAGTTCCATTAAAATTTGATAATCTTTTCGCCATTTTTTAAAACTTCAGAGTTCTTTGGTTGAACGTTTTTCTGGATATTTATTCATATTACTTCATCATGTTCACATAACATTGTGGATCTTCGTTGTTAATAATTATTACATATTATTTGTATTATTTAGATTCATTTTACTTATAATTACATAATATAGCTTTGCTGTACAATACTTCCCACATGATTCATGTTGAAAGAGTAATTATCATCTGCTTCGCATTCAAAAACTATATGCATATAGACATAAAGATAAAAACCTTGTTATTAGGCACCTGTACATTTTTTATTCCCAACCTTGTCTTATCATAAGGATGATCGTACTTTTATAATAATCGATCTATTTTATGCGAGCAAAAAAAACTTTTTTGTTGTATTTAAAGGGTCTATTAATTACATAAACAAACTAATTGATTAAATTTAATTAAAATTTCAATGAAAATTCTTAACGAAAATGTCAATCAAAAAGCAGTTATCAGATGAAATTATCAAACTTACTAGCAAATTTGGAAAATTAGGTTTAGCAGATTGTCAACACACTCTTTTTAAGCACCATATTTTGAAAATTTGTTGGCAATTTATTTATTGAAAAAATTTTACATAATTACATTACTATTAAATTTTATAATCACATCTTTTTTTATTTAAAACAAATCGCATGATTATAGAGGAGGAGGACGACTATATAAGAATTTTATATTACTGAAGTAATTTTTTTTCTGTTTGCTTACTATTATTTTGAAAATTCACCATATTTAAAAAATTCCAGCATAAATTGTTCATTATATATTTTTTGTGCAAAATTTTCTATAATTTTTACCCAATACCATTTTTTCATAGATTAGCAGAATATATTTCTGTTTACTCAGTAATTGGCAGCCTCAATTTATCTATTACAAATTACTACTTATCTGTTATACTTAATATTGTGATCTAATAATTTATTATAGAATATGATTGTTGGAATTATAATAGCATATTATATTATATAAATAAAAAAACTATATATATATATTATTACAGTAGTCATATTAATTAAACTTTTTTACTATAAGTTATATAATAATAATTACTACTACATGTAAAAATTATTATTAAGATTACTACTTTGTGTTACATTACTACAAAATTATTATCTGAATTACGGCACCAATCATTAATATTAATTATATGTAAGCTCTAAATGCTGGAACGGTCAATAAAAAAAAAAAGGAAATTTGAGACATTACACGTTAAATTTAAACTTAAGGGACTTTGTGAATACCGTTGAAATACTATATAATAACAAAAAGCTTGTACTAATGTTCATATACTACGTATTCTAAATATTATAGAAGTCAAATATTAACCTCGAGTTAAATATCATAGTAGATAGGTAATATATATGGGAACATGAGTATTACTGTTTCATTAATAATACAGGCCTAGAGGCACGTCACATCTCTAATAATGTAATAAAGGTCGCGATGATTAAAAATATAATTGAATTAATTTTCGAAATATAATAAATAAAATAGCTTTGCTAATAATTTGCATAATGAATTTCTGATAGATTTGATTAGTTTATGGTCACGTTTTAATCGTAAAATAGCCAAACATAAGAAAGTCATTCTATGAGTCACACCAATATATGCATCCACACTCATTACAATGAAAATTATCGTTCTGCCGGTCCTCACAACCATCACAAACGCAAGGATGCAATTGATCTTTAACGCAAGGCTGGACATTAGGATCACTAGTGAGACAGTGCGTTACATCTACATCTTGAAATTGTCGGTATTTATAAACGCCGCAGGCTGGCCAATCTTGACAGTCCCCGAGACCTAAAGAATGTGAAATATTATTTAATTTTATTTAATTAAAAATGTGTTGCTTTAATTATATCGATAAAAATTACCTGGTGAAGTAAATAAGAAAGTTGCTAGCGCAAAAATGGCCGTTAGATATATAAAAAAGCTTGCGTGTAGAAAGTACATATTAAAGGCGATTGAGATTATTAGTTATGAAGGATGTAGTAATAATAGTAAATATAAGGAAATATTTTTATCAAATGTAGAATTTAATTCTTCAAGCATTCATTTATATATTAGTTGCAAGTTCAAATACTGATCAAAATCGATAATACGTTTTGTACGTGCACCACAAATATAATCACATGCAAATCAATAAATTTTTTTATTTTAATTTTCAAAAATGGAGTTTCCAGATAGTACTCCGAACGGAACTGAAAAAAAATTCAACCCGAAAGTTTCGGTTCTGGGTTGGATTTAGGTTGATTCGAACTAGAGATAATTAAAATGAATTCCCAATCAGGTAAACACTAACTATCAAAAAAATTTTAAGCTTAAACTAGATGTTAGACCGTCATTAAATGAGGGGCAGATTTAAACATTTTTTTTTTACAATATATAATTTATTGTAGTGATGGGCAATTTTCATAGAAGTGAACAATCTACGTCCTCCTCAAATTACTTTGCATAATATGTGAAATGTAAAAAGTAGCCAGTAATGGCGAACGGAGATGGCAGCCATGTGAAAATCTGTTATCAAATAAAGCAAAATAACCATTCTAACAGCTCATTATAATTAATGTTAGGATGAGAAAGATATTTTATAAGATCATTCTAACAGCCTTTTAAGGTTAGCACTTAGTGTTTGAATAAATTTTGTCGTATCGGTATACAGTGTTTCGGTCTAAACCTATTTAAACCATATGCAAATCTGTTACACAGATATGCAATGCCTTTCCAACGTGTATATTCGCCTTTTTTAATATAGATAGACTGGTTTTTTTGATGTTTACTTAGTATCGGTATGATTATGGTAGGCCTAATTTTGGTTGATTTGTCTATTCTAAGTTCAGTATAAGTTACACGGAAAATAAACGTTTTTATAAATCATCTTCGATATTACTCTATCGATCGATCAATCGATCGAGTGATTGCAGAGCAAGAGCAGAAGCAGGAGTAGGAGAATAGTATAAAAATTTTTAAAGGGCCGAAAGACCAATTTTATACACATTTGGCTCTTAACTTATTAAAGAATTTCTTCTCTGGGTAGTGATGCGAAATTGCTCTAATCCGTATAATATAGATCACATAGGGTTGGGCAAATGTAAGTTACACTGTAACTTACATCTAACAAATGTAAATTACATACCTATATTTATATATTATTTTTTAAATTAGACATTTAAATGGTTTATTATTAAAATTTTAGTAAATAATTTTAAATAATTTTTAACTAATTTAAAAGCTAAAAATTTTAATACTATTTAATAAACATAATTCTATAAACAGTAAAACCTCCATAAGTGCACCCTCTATAAGTGTACACCCTCTCTATCAAGTTCTGACCCAAATATACAGTCATACCTGATTTATATCACCCCTTTTTTCCAGAGCATTTTTGGTGATATAACTAAGGTGGGGATATAACTC